GAAAAAATCAGTTTAAGTACTTAAAAAAGCTTTTCAGCACTCAAGCTTATCAACTATCCAAACTGTCTCTGACCTTCATAAGTTTTTGGTTCATTGAAGCCGTAGTTTCTTCACGGAAACTAACAGTAAGGATGATTCTTGCTATTATTGTGATAGTTGAGGGTATTTATTTGGTCACTATGGTAATACAGGGATGTAATTTAAGTTTTGAGGTATAGATGCTTTTGGCCAAAGAATCTAAAAGTTTACATAAAAATCACATACAATAAAGTTTTTTCCAATAGCGCGTCCAGTGGTAGAACTAGGGCATTGCATTGCAGAAATGAAGGTCGCCCCTAAAGTAATACTACTGTTCAGAGACTCTAGCGGCTTCGGCACCGCCATCTTCGAAGCTCTTCAACCTAACCCTAACTCCAACTTTCAAAAGAGGTAAGCATCTTACCCCCCCCCCCCCCCCCCNTTCATTGCAGACAAGAATCGCTTGATTTATCGTTAGAACGTTACGGAATCAAAGATCAAAAGGTTTCTGTAGAGATCGTTCATTTTCAGGATGGCTCAAATCTCTACGAGGTACTTTTTTCCTTTTGGGTGCGTCTGGTATAGAGGAAACTGTATTCCTTGAAAATGTTTTTCATTTCCTGTATATTTGCAGTATTTTTGATAATTTTTCAGTCCTTGGTTATATGTGTAAAAATAGGTATTGTACAAGGTGAATGTGACAATGTATAAGGATATGGTTTAAGTGATAATGCGGAGTTACCCGGTACATGTGTACGCGCAAGCTTGTCCGGACACCTCACTTGAGTTATTTTTACATCATTGCCGAAATTTGTAGGTTTAAACAAGTGATGTAAAGTGAGAGTTGGGATTTATAATTGAAGGAAGTCATTTGTCTGTTTCGTTAGAAAGTATATAAAGTAATTTCATTGAAAAATATTGGAATTGGTTAGGCATTTTGCTTTTTGGGATTATGGACCACGGTTTGAAATTTTTTTACTTCTTTTTCTTAGGTGTCTGTGTTGCTTTTGGAAAATTACGAGCCTCCAACACTTGCTTGTGCTCTCAATGAGGTTCTGTCATTGTTAGTAGGAGATGGGTCATCAAATATGCCGACAATTGTAGCCCCTTTTCTCGTGGCTGACACTAAGCTTAAGATGGAAAATAGAACTTCCGTTGGCGTTGACAACATCTCAGTTTATGCTTTGCAAGTAGGTGCCTCCAGTGGCCTTACTAAAGCTTTGGTCACAAATTTGCAAAGTCCACCCCCGTCGTTGCAGATTTTCCACGAACAGTTGGCCTGCTTACTTCAGTTGGTTCGAGTCTTGAACTTGCCTACTGTAGTTATAATTGGCAAAAAAGGTCAAAAGTTGCATCGTAAGACTTCAGAAGAGGACCTCGAGGTACGTTATAAATGTCATATGACTGTTCGTCCAATGGATGATTTTCATGCTTTGAACATGAGAGCTGCTTCCCTGTGTTATCTAGGTTGTTCACATCATGCAGAAGTAACGAAACGAAACAGGACTGTGTTCTGGGCTTCTTAGTTTCTTATGTTATTTTTAAGATCTTATCTTTTGAACAATTTAATCCTGAAAAATTGTGTTTTGCATGTCTTGTAAAATGAAGGGGGTAGGGGAGAGGAGAAAGCACTTTAAATAGAGTGAATTTAGCTTCAGTGTTGCTTCTATTGTTATATCCTATAGCAGCTGGCCGAACTGAATGGCTTATGTATTGCCAAGCAGTAAGTTATTACAGCTGCAAAAACGAAATCTGAGTGGCAAGAAAACCAGCTCTTGGTTGCTTAAGTTCAAGCAGATCAAGATAGACAAAGCCTTACATTGTCTTTGATTGAATATAATTAACTTTTAAACGTCTGATAAAATTATTGTTCTCCTTTTCTGTGAAACAAAAAACAACTTGATTAGGGAATGGACTGCTGGAAGAAAAGCACTTTTACTAGAATAAATTAGTTACGGGATTTAGCTATGGTGCAGTTATATATATATCCTGTTGCAGCTGGCCGAGCTGAGTGGCTTATGTATGCCAGGCAGTAAGTTAATACAGCTGCAAAATCAAACCGGAATGGCAAAACAACCAGCTCTTGGTTGCTTGAGTTCAAGTAGACCAAGATAGATAAAGCCATATATTTTCTATGGTTAAAACTAATTAAATTTTAGTCTTCATAAAATTAACATTATTGTTTCCTTTTCTATGACGAAACTGAAAAAATAACTTGATTAGGGAATGTACTACCGAAAACAAGCTAAAACAATGCACTTTAAATAGAATGATTTAGCTCTCTTGCAGTTATCCTTGATATATCTTATTGCAGCTGGCCGAGCTGATTGGCTTATGTATGCCATCCAGTAAGTTAATACAGCTGCAAAATTCAAATCTGCGTGGCAAAAAAAACCAGCTCTTGGTTGCTTGAGTTCAAGTAGATCAAGATAGTTAAAGCCATACATTCTTTTTGGTTAAATATACACCAGCTTTTTAAGTCGTTTAGAGTGATATTAGCACCATTATTCCCCTTTAATCTGACGAGTAACAGAAAAAAATCATTAAGGAATGAACATCCGAAAATGGGCTGACTTGTGGATGCAACTATACATTTTAAAAATTGGTAAATGCTCTGAAGGTGTCTTAAGCAAACCAACATTATGGTTCAAGGGATTTGATTGATAGAGCTATCGACTTGAATATTATGCCATTATCATCTGAAGTTCCCTGACAAGAATGACATACCTGGGTATCCTCTCTTACCATTTCTGCATATCAGTGGACGGGCTCGATATCCTCGATAGAGCTAGCAGTTACCCCCCC